TTTCCCTGTTTGCTGCAAGGAGGTAAATTGCTGGGAGGTAGAGGCAGATTTTCCCTCCTTGTATAAGACGCTAGGTGCGTCTGATACTTTGGAGTGGCTTATACTCCAAAAAATACGGTATTTTCCAATCTAGCCTTCCCCAACTAGATTGCCTTCCAGTTGAGACTCAAACTCCCATCATTCCCCAATCAGCCTCCAGCTGGTTGGAATTCTGGGAACTGCAGTCTGAGCATCTCAGACACTGCCAAGCAGGGGAAGACTGTCTAATGATCATTAAATCATAGGATTGAAACTGTAAACTTTCTTTTAACAAAACAAGCAAATGGTTTTTGCACCATTTTACCTCCCAAACAACTTATTTATATATCAGCAAGAGAATTTGAAAAAATAATGTGTACTTCCGCAAGGGGAGCATCCTATCAGTTTTGGCCCAGTGTGCAAATAATTGTTGACAACAGTTGTGGACAAAATGGTTGGTTGGTTGGCTTTTCTATTCACCAAATAGGAGCTGTATTGGACATAACCAGGCACAAAACATCTGTTTATCAGGGTATTAGCTAGTCTCCCTTCTGTATGTCTACTTTTATTCCTCTTCTGGGCAGGGTGAAACTCTTGGTGAAAACATCCCAACCCTTGAATTCTCTATGAAAGCTCATGATACCCCATTTGTGGCCCAGAAGCGTTGCTGGGTTTGACGGCAACAGAAGACAAATAGGTCAAGGATCCAAGCTACTATCCCCAAGGACACTTGCAATGCCTCCCATGGAAACAATTAGAGGGGAAATGCCTAAATTTATTATTGGAAAGTTTAAAGCGCAGCCAAGATGTAGCTTGAGTAATGGGAAGCGGAAAGGTCACTAATTTCTTCAAGAGATATTCCATCTGTTCCTTGAAGCAGAGAGTGCCCTCATGTTGCAACATTCCCATCAGTGGTTTCTTTCCTATGGAAAGCTTGAGTGAAAAGGGCATTGCATATTTTGTTATGGAGGGCTATGTCACATCTGCAGAAACACCAAGAAGCCAACCTCTACTAGGAAATTCGTAAACAGTTTCTTGAACCTTTTACTCTATTCTGTTACTCTTATCTTCGCCTGTTGCTATCTACTTCACTACCAAGAGGACAAAAAGGTAGAAGAAAAGAAAGAAGCCATGACCTACACACACCACATTGTCTAACTCTGGTAGGTGGGGTAGTCTGGATCCTTAACAATTGAAGAGCCATAGAGACTTCAACGTTCTACTTACAAAAGCATTATAGGAATGCGAAGTCAACTCAACTCAACTCACTAGAGGCTTCCAGGTCTAACAAGCCACCATTGTCCAACTGAAGTGGCTCTTTCAAATACTATGAAAATGATCTGGTTGTTACTGGTTTATTATTGAATTTATTGGCTTAGTTATTTATTTATTAGTTTACTATTATTACATTAGCTTGCCAGAGAAAGAGAAAAAGAATACATGAATGAGAATTAGATGTGCATGTATGCATATAACTGTGCAGAGTTGTTTATATGCAGAGGTTGCATATAAAATAAAGAAGTAAATAACAGAAAATTCTGCCTAGAGTCCAGCCTAGGATATGACGCACTCATTTTAGAGAGGGCAGGGATGCTGCTGCATTTATCGGTTAGGATTTATATCCATTTTTCCTCCAAAAAATGAAAGCACATTATAAAGTATTCCCTCTAGGTTCCCACCCAGCAATAATAACCCTGTGAAATAGTTTTACTTTACTGTTGAATGTATTATATAGATAACTTACAAAACGGGTTAATTTAGTCAGCAGATAAGTAGGTTGGGAGAATACATCTATTATATATTCATTTCCTAAACAATTACTTTGAAGGTGTCAGCACAGATGAAAAATCATTAGACTGAGCATACAAAATTCTCATACCTCGCTAGAAGACAATATTTGCAGCTCAGGGTTGAATTGTGGGGCCCTTGGTGCTCTCTGAGCATAACTGTTTTCCTGAAGACATTTCATTACCCAACTAGGTAACATCTCAGGGGCTAGAAGGGAGCCTGATAGCAAAAAAGCTTAAAAGAAAACCAAAACACCTCCACACCAGCAACCGACTTCCAGATAAGATAATTAAAAGCATGGATTAATTCCAAACTAACAATCAAGCAGTAAATAAACAATGTCCAATCTAGGAACTATCAATCCAGATAAACAAATAGTAAACAACAATGTAATCAGAACTACTAGAAGAAAACAACACTTGACAAGGCAAGTCACTCTACAGAAACATAAAGCACTTCCTTCTAGTACTGAAGATGTTACCCTTATTGGGTAATAAAACATCTGCAAGAAAACAGTCAAGATCAGAGAGCACCAAGAACTTCACATTCACATACATATTTTGCAATATGCGTAGAAAACATCTCGGGCATGACCCAAAAACTCTTCTCTTCCCTTCCCCCCAGAGTATATATGAGTCAGGCTAAAGTTAGCCTTCTCTGCATCGCAGGAATGTTCTGTTTGCTCTAAGCATTCTCTTCACTAGGCTATGGACCAAGAGCAGGTCCTTCATATGCCCACAGTTCACATCCCACATCACCAACCATACCCCACGGCAACCCTTGCCAACAAACAAGTCCTCCTCTTGATGGAAGTCTGACCTGGATGTTGGTGATGCAGAGCTGGCTGAAGAGTCATCACTTCTTGAGCTCAGGTCCTCTAAGAAAGCATGTGGCTGCTGGGGAGCAAAGAAAGCCAATTAAGGATAGTATCTGTCTCAGGTGAGAAGTAACGCTTCCTGTTGCCAACTGAACTCCACTTTCAGCTTTCCGTTGAGTCACAAATGAAACTCCCGGGAAATCATAACAGTGGGAGATGAATCACTGGTATATTTGGAGATAGAGGACAATGGAATTTCCAAGGTGCCTGTCTTTGCTTTTCTAATGTAAAATCAAGTTGATGCTGTTTGTTATTATTACTATTGGGATGGCCTAAAGGCCTAAGATCTTGGAAAGATAGACCAGAGAGATCTTCGGGGATTGGCAAAGTTTAAGAAGACATCTAAGCAAGAAGGATGAAGTAGGATAATGATGCTGGGTGTTCTCCATTGTGGGGGGACATGTTTAAAAGATGCGAATCTGTTTCATGTTTCATAAAATGTAGATGGGAACCAAGGTCCCTGGTTTTAAGTTGGAAGGGACCTTGAAAGTCCAACCATCTGCTCAGGCTGAAAACCCTACACCACTTCAGACAAATGGTTATCCAACATCTTCTTAGAAACTTCCAGTGTTGGAGCATTCATAACTTCTGGAGTCAAGTCATTCCACTGATTAATTTTTCTGTCAGGAAATTTATCCTTAGTTCTAGTTTGCTTCTCTCCTTGATTAGTTTCCACCTATTTCTTCTTCTCCTGCCCTCAGGTGCTTGGAGAATAGCTTGACCCCCTCTTCTTTGTGCCCCCCTTTAGAGAAATTGTGTCTTAGGAGTCTGATATTCCTGAAATGTCCCACTATCACAAGACAACCACAGGGACTACATTGCCCCCTAAGATAACCACTCCAATCTACCACATGACAGGGTTTGCCATTAACTCTAAAAAGATGTTCTAACGCTGTGTTTCTCAACCTCAGCAACTGTGGACTTCAACTCCCAGAATTCCCCAGCCAGCATGTGGAAGTCCACACATCTTAAAAGTTGTTCCAATTGAGAAACACTGCTCTAAAGATAAAGAGATGTTCAAAGGACCATCCTTCATCCTTTTCCCTACTGAAAGTGGAGAACTGTGGCTGCTGATTTCATACATGACTTTGGGCAAACAGATGTGTGCTCTTCCATATGAAGCAGAATTGTGCACCAGTCAGGTTCTGGCATTGGCGGACATTGCAATGATTTGTGCGCTGTCTTGACATTGCAACATATTCTTCAAAAGTAAGGGCTAAGAATTGTGGGAGTTGAAGTTTTTTTCCTCTATGAAGCAAAAGGTTGGGAAATTTGACCTGTCCCAAAACTTACTTGCGGGTGAAGAGGAGATTCTGGGGAAAGAGGAGACTCCGAAGAAACCAGTGGGATTTTCTTCAGCACCAGAGTCACTCGACTGGATTCTAGAAGCTTCTTCACGAGATTCATCCGGGTCCAACCCACCTGCACAACCAATCATTTGCCTTACTTTTAATGATAAGAACAAGGGTCTTTATTGCTGTTATCTTTTGACACATTAGTTACGCACACTGCATTATGAAGCAAGATACAAAGACATCACTGAGCTGTTTCTTTTAGGAATAATAAAAGGAAATGTAAGTAAGGATATTCAATATATAATGCTCCATATAATTATCGCAGCCAGAATCTTATTTGCCAAAATTGAAAACAAAAAAGTCATTCCCTCAAATAAAAAAGGTGCTAGAGTGCGCGGAAATTGACAAACTAACGATGGAACTAAGAGATGGAGAGGAAACTACGAGATATGGAATAGGTGGTATAATTGGCTTGAAATCAATGCATAATGAATACTTGGAAAAGGAGATGGTATATATTCAGAAAGTCATAGAGATGTAAATATTGAATATATATGCATATATTGTTAAAATGAGAAACTATGAAAAAAGAGGAAAATGTATATGACAATATGTTGTAGTGTGGAAAACCCAAAATTAGAAAAGAGAGATACCGATAATGGAAAGTTGTAAAAGTGTAATTGCGATTTTAATGTTTGGAAAATGTTGAATTAAAAATTTTTTTTTTTTAAAAAAAGGTATTACTATACATACAAGTAGTCCTTACAATCACTTGTTTAGTGACCATTTGAAGTGATTCGCTCAACAATTGTGGTTAAAAAAAAGTCATAAAATTGAGCATGATTCCCTTAACAATTGTCTTGCTTAGCAACAGAATTTCTGGTCTCATTTGTGGTCTACCTGTAGATAAATGTGGTTGTGACTTTATCCTTCCAAATCAGACAGGTAGCCATAAGAGTGGTAGTGAGCTCCATTTGTGAAACATTCTCCCCAGCAGACCTGTTTGCTACATATAGCCTTATCTTTTTCAGGTCAAATGTAATTTGCTTTCAAAACCTTTGGGGCAACCTTTGTAGAACAACTGATCATTGTTTTTGTGGTTAATTTTTTAAGATACAGTATTTTTCGGAGTATAAGATGCACCTTTCCCCCCTAAAAGAGTGCGGCAATGTTGGTGCGTCTTATACACCGAATACAGCCATTTTTGGCCTCCCAAAGCCCCGCCCCCACATCCAATTTTAGCGAAAAACAGAGGCATTTTTGCTTTCCCCAAGTCCCCAGAACAACTCTGCAGGCTTCAGCAGAGCTGGGAGAAGACAAAAATGTGCCAGTTTTGGCAAAAACTAGCCGTTTTCTGCCCATTTGTTGTATAAATGGGGGCGTTTTTGTCTTCCTCCAGCCTTGCTGAAGCTTGCAGAGTGCTCCTGGGGGCCAGGAAGGCCAAAAACCTTTTTCCTTATCTGTTCAAAATCTTGGTGTGCCTTATACACCGGTGCATCTTAGAGTCCAAAAAATACGGTCATTATTTTATGGTGTATTTTTTTAAAAATCTCTATTGAATCACTGTCCATACTTTCATATGGAATACATCAAGAGGAATGCACATCTTCAGAGACAGCCGAGAGTAGCTTCCTATAGCAATCATGAAAAACTGGAAGAAGACATGGCTGCTTTCATGAATCAATGAGAGGTGCTTCGTGCATGAGCCTTTGTGTTCCAAAGCATCTCTTTGCAAGCATTTGCACATTTCTATGCTCTAATCCTAATTCTAGTGCTCATGTTTTGGCTCATGCAACACGTGATTTTGCTAAGATGTTAGTGCATTTGGGACTTCACATGAGAAACCTAGTTATACAAACCCCCAGTCACAAACACCCCAACACAATCACAACTGGACAGCACCAGAAGGTCCTGTGGCAAATGAATTATTTTTGCAATCAATGACATTTCCCAATTACAAATATGATCAACCCAGATAGAAAAAAAAAATTAGCTCTAGACCTTAGTGAGTCATTGCAGAATGCATTTGGGCAGTGCACTTTCTATTAACTTAAAAGTTAATACACGTGAGCTAATGCAGAGATTAGGCTGTCCAGCTATTGTAGGAGGAGAGCTGTGTAAGTCCGTGGGGGCATAAAAACCGCAGGACGCCTTGGGCACCTTTCCTGACTAATGAAATTTTATTAAAAGCCAGCAGCTTTCATGAGCCAGTCAAGCCTCCTATTTTACAGAGGACTATTCTCTTATTTGAAGAACTGCCCTGATTTATTCCATCTTAAAGATACACAATCACAGGAAGAGAAGCCAGGAAATACTCAAAGTCTCTCCCACATAATAAGGATCTAAATCCTACTTTAATTATATTGAGGTTTATATTTATATACATATATTAGCATATGGAAACTTTTCCATCTTTTCTCCTTCGGAAGTAGAATAGAATAATAGAGTTGGAAGGGAATTTGGAGGCCTTCAAATCCAACCCTATACCATTTCAGACAAATGGTTATCCAATCTCTTCTTTAAAACTTCCAGTTTTAAAGCATTTACAACTCCAGTTGATTAATTGTTCAGTCAGGAAATTTATCCTCAGTTCTAGGTTGCTTCTCTCCTTGATTAGTTTCCACCCATTGCTTCTTGTTCTACCTAAGGTTGTCCAATCTGGGGTGACCCTGAGGACACAGATAAATCTCCAAGTGCTTCAATGACCCGCTAAAAGGATGCAAATGACCAGCTGTCTGCAAGGAATATAAACCTTCCATTCCCCACTATGCTGTCAGAGCTGAAGAAGCTTCTTGGATGAGAAGCAAAACGTCTTCAAAAGAAAAATTAAGAAAGTCCAGTTGCCGCCAGAAAAAGATTGTCCAATCTCTTCTTAAAAACTTCCATTGTTGGAGCATTCACAACTCATGGAGGCAAGTTGTTCCACTGATTAATTGTTACAACCTGCCTCCAAAAGTTGTGAATGCTCCAACAATGGAAGTTTTTAAGAAGAGAAGTAGGGAGAGATGCTTTCCTCGGCCATAAAGGATCTCCCCATCTTCCAGCAAAACAACTTCATGCAGCAAAAAAATTAAGGCAAGTGATAATTAAGGTCTGTCCCATTCTCTCCCTTATATGGTAGCTCAGTACCCCAATTCATCCTGACCCAGGAACCAAGCAGAGAACAAGCCTGGACTTACCACCACCTGGTCATTGACTTGGACTATTTCATCACCTGGGAAGACCTTGCTGCACTGGTCAACAGGAATCTGGAAGGGAAAAAAACCAGGAGACCCTCAAGGACAAGTCCGTGGGAGCACAAAAACCGAAAGAGTCTGGTGGCACCTTTCCTGACTAATGAAATTTTATTAAAAGGCAGCAGTTTTCATGAGCTGCAGTCAGTCCAGCCTGCTATTATACAGAGGACTGTTCTCTTATTTGAAGAGCTGCCCTGTTTTATTCCTTTGGAGGGAAAGGGCTGAAAAGGCAGTACGGATGGATTGTATAATTGTAGTAAGGAACTTTTTGGGCAGGCACAGTCAAACTCTTGGGGGTGGAGGAGGAAAGATTCCTGCCCAGGGGATTAAGTATTAACTTCAAGCTTGACCTTTTGGTTAATTCTAGCTCAATAAAGAATGCAAGGGAACGAAGGAGGCAGTTGTGCCAAAGAGCGAAGGGGAAGGGATAAATGGTAATTAGCCAAGTATGATGCAGAATCCCCACGGGGGGGAGAAGCAATAATGACCATTGGACTGAGCTGCATTTTCACAGGCAACGGTTTGAAGAAAGAAAGAGGAACTGGCCTGTTGCACAGGAGGGTCTGTTTTAAAGACTGCAGTTATGGGGACCCTGCTAGTTTTGGGAATGTGTCTTGGAGGGGGGAGAGGCAAAGCTATGGGACTGAACCCACTCCCACCGCACACTCACCTCTCGGGCAGTCCCCGATATCAAATGGAGACAGGAGGGCAAGGACTTAATCTCTAGGCCCTGCAGAGAGAAGATTTAGGAGACACGCTTATCAGCTCAACTTCTGGCTCCACAACAGACAGCTGCCTTGCTTGTACATTCAGTTCCTGGCACCTCTGTCGAGTCACTGGATAGCAATGGCTCATGGAAGGAGATCAGCCTTTCCGAATGCACCACCCTTCAGATAATTTGACTGCATTCATCTCCAGCCAATCCCCAGACTGGCTGTGGAGGGTAGGAGGTACAAAACATTGAAAGGAGGTCCAAAGCATCCAGGTTGAGGAATGCCAGATGAGGCAAAACTAGCCGAGATGGACCAACCCAGTGGAAGGCAATTTCCTATGTAAACAACTGTGACATGGATCATATCTAGGTCACAGCTTGAGGTTGTTAATTCCTGGATAATTTTATATATGTATAATAATTATAAACTGCACATAGAAAAACTATCCAGGAATTGGCAACCAAAGCTGGGGCATTAATCATGGTTTTTTTTTTTTTTAGCAAAGGACCCTAAAATAAAGGGGGGGTGTCAGTGGTGGGTTTCAAAATTTTTAGAACCTCTTCTGTACGTGTGGCCTGCTTTGTGGGAGTGGCTTGCCGTCCATGTGACTGGGTGGGAGTGGCTTTCTGGCCATGTGACTGGGTGGGAGTGGCTTGCCAGCCATGTGACTGGGTGGGCGTGGCCAACTTGTAAAATGTGGTGAAACTCACTTAACAATTCTCTTGCTTAGCAACCAAAATGTTGGCTCAGAAATTCTGGCATTTGAAGCACGCAAGTCTTAAAGTTGTCAAGTTACAAGAGCCTTGCACCCCTAACCCTTTAGAAAAAAAACCCAGGGGTGTTCATACTTGACAACTTTAAGACTTGTGGACTTCAACTCCCAGAATTCCTCCTCCAGTCATGTTGGCTCAGGAACTCTGGCATTTGAAGCACGCAAGTCTTAAAGCTGTCAAGTTACAAGACCCTTGCACCCCTAACCTTTTAGAAAAAAAACCCCAGGGGTGTTCAAACTTAACAGCTTTAAGACTTATGGACTTCAACTCTCAGAATTCCTCCTCTCACTCTTCATCTTGATGATGTCCGGACGGACGGGGGGAGGGAGCTGGAACCGGTTCTAAACAGCACTGTAGATTTGTGGAACCTCTTCTATAGAAGAGGTTAGAACTGGCAGAAACCCACCCCTGGAGGATGTCCACATAGAGATTAGCTGCATAGAATGATGGAGTCTGATACGGGTCAAACTTGTGTGGTACATGGGGGAAGTTCCTGTTCCAGCCATTGCAAGATAAGATTGATAAATCAGTTGGATCTAAGCAGAGTACACAAAATTGTCTGCTATAATGTCCTGCCTGTCAAGGGCTTCTTCAGCTTCAACCACAATAATACAGGGGCAAACAATCCATACAAATTCAAGGTAAACCGCTTCAAACTTGATTGCAAAAAACATGACTTCAGCAACAGAGTGGTCAACGCCTGGAATGCTCTACCTGACTCTGTTGTTACAGCTTCTAACCCTCACAGCTTCAATCTCAAACTGTCTACCGTGGACCTCAGCCCATTCCTAAGAGGTCCGTAAAGGGGGGGGGGGGCGTAAGCGCACCAGCGTGCCTACTGTCCCTGTCTTACTGTCCCCATTTATCTGTATTTACCTCCTTTGTTCATGTTTATGTTCATACCTATACTTGTATCTTATAAACAAACAAACAAACAAATAATAAATACATAAATAAATAAATAGGCCCTTTTCTGAAACCCCTGGAAGAATGACTCCATAAAGGCATCTATATAAGTTCTCATGGTATCAGTCACATGATGGGACCTGGAACAAGACGTTGCAACATGAAGTTCTTCAGGAGGCCTCCACACTAAACTCTTCTCTCCTTCACCCCATTCTTCATCTGCCCTGGCAATGGTCCTTCAACATCCCAGGTCCCCTGAGCACACTCAGGGTACTTTGGCTCTTCCTTTCTCTCCCTTGATGTTTTCTCTCTTCAGACATTTTAGGCACTTCCTCAAAACAATCAGATCCACCAAAGATATCTCAGACCTCTCTCTTTGGTGTGGGAGCTTACAAGACTACCACTGTGGGCCAAACCCTTTTGGATCTGCAAGGCAAACCTTATTTATCACACAAGATTTGTGTGGAACTGAGTAAATCACACAGAGAGAAAAATATGTGTGAACAGGTAAGAAGACAGTATGCACACTAACGGTTTTGCTCATGCCGCCAAATCTTGCTAAGACCCCCTAATGAATACCCACAAGAGAGGAAAGAGATATTTGTAGTCAGGAACAGGTGTAGAATGAATAAGTACAGTATAAAGCTGGTGGACTTTGACTTCAGCTCTTTTTGCCCAGAAGAGCTTTAATACTGACAGTGCGACGCTCACCAAATTATCTTCTGGACCTGCAGGTTCAAGTTCCACCGTTTCCAAGGTGGCTGTTTGATCTAGGAGGTTCGCTGGGCTGCAGTGCAAGATATGCTCACAGATTCCAGAAATGTGTCTTCCCTGCAGAGTAAACAGACAAAAGCTCTGGGGAACCATGGCTTGAACTGCCCTGTGCAGGGGTGTCCTCAAGAATGACCACTCTAAGCACAAGTGAGATCCAAGGAGCCCCAACATATAAAGTATGGACCTGTGAAATGAGCTCGGCTACAACTGGGCAAATGCTACTGAGTTATTTATATAGACCTTCTGCAGATCTTTTCAGATCACTTAGGAAACAGTCAAAAGGGAAATCTCCCTTATATAGAAATAAACAATGCTCCTGTCATTTGCACAGGTCGCCTTCAGGACAAGTGAGGGAAGCCGAATGTCAACTCGCAAAGCATCCCTGGCCTGCTCTCAAATTGCCATAGGAAAGAGGTGGGGGGTGGGAAACTGATGAAACAGCACGCAGCAAAAGACAAATGCACATTCCAGACTTATCTCTCTCAAGGCTGTATCCCAGGGTTACTTGAAGTGGCTGGAGGGAAGTGATCTCTACAACCCATGAAATTGCCCCATTGGAGAATGTGATTGTTGACACACCTTGGGGGGGAGGGGGAAAACAGGGTCATGATTGGGGTTAGAGTTGGTAAATAATGTGGTGTTAGAGCTGGCTTCACTTGGGAACATGCCAACATGAAGCTCCTAATAAATAACTGGATTTCTTTCGGAGCTTGGCTCGAGGCTCATGATTTAATTAAGGCATCCATGGGAACCCTGAGAGCTCCCCACTAAAGATACGGTGATGGTCACCTTCTAGAAGGCTTTGGTTACACCGTTTGTGGTTCACAGCAGTCCGGTACTGTGTGTAGTTTAAAATTGGCCCCAAATTAAAACCCCTTCTACAACCCCTTAAAACAACTTCTTATGAGACCTCCTCCCATCAGACTAAGAGGTATAGTTTCAACCCTTATCCTTCACAATTTGCCCATGCCTGTCTGAGGATGGATGTACAGAAATAAAATATTTCCAATAGACAGCTGGCTGACCAGATAGTCTAGCCTAGAGGTCTAGATTAAGGTAAAGGTTCCCCTTGCACATATGTGCTAGTCATTCCTGACTCTAGGTGGCGGTGCTCATCTCCGTTTCAAAGCCAAAGAGCCAGAGCTGTCTGAAGACATTTGCATGGTCATGTGGCCAGCATGACTAAATGCTGAAGGGGCACGGAACGCTGTTCCCTTCCCACCAAAGGTGGTTCTTATTTTTCTACTTGCATTTTTTACGTGCTTTGGTTGGCAGAAGCTGGGACATGTAACAGGAGCTCACTCTATTACATGGCGCTAGGGATTCGAAACGCTGAACTGCCGACTTTTCTGATCAACAAGCTCAGCATCTTAGCCACTGAGCCACCACGTCTACATTATCTTTAGTCTAATTCCCACAAGTTCATTCTTTTGTGTGTTAATTGGAGAAGGAGGAGGACTTGGGAAGATACCTGCATCTCCACCACTGACTTTTCAGATGAACCCATTTACGATTCTGTATATAAGAGTCTGTTGAATGGCTATTGACCCATGGAAGGTTGGGGAATTTGCAGTTTCAACACTGGGGTGGGGACCCAGATCTTTTCACTACTTACGATCAACAAAATTTGGTCCTCTCTTTCGGATACAGTGCACTCCTATAAGGACAAATGTAAAGAAAAGTACATTAATAGAAGCTGGGGTTGTTGATTCAAACTAGACACCCTTTCTAGTTGAAGTAGACAACTTTTCACCAAGACCAAAGGTATGATGCATTCACCGAAATGCAGATGGCATTCCAATCCTCCTCCTAGTTGGATTCATGGCGATTCCAATTCAGAGTGGCGCATGGAATGTGGAGACCCATGCATTGCCCAAAGCTTTAAACAGAGTCAACCAGGACTAGGGTTTAATTTTAAAATGGTCACTTTATCAGCTTAAGAACAGGAGGCATGCATCTTATTACTGTGGGAAATATGTATATGAAGTTTTAAACAACTGTTTTAATAAAGGATGAGCATAATTCATCATGATCATCCATGCATAATCTGTGTCTGAAAGCAATTTATTCCTATATATACTGTATATGTATGAGCAGCTCTTAATATTGTTGTTATTGCTCTCTTTTTCACTTAATGCCTTTACTTGAATAAAAGCACATTATTTCAACAAAAAATCCCAGCAATCAATCATGGAAAATACAGGAAATTCTAAATGGTGACATTCAGGAATAGCGCAAGTTCAGGTTTTAGTTGTTACCTTACTTGTTTTAAGCCCAATTTTGATCAGCTAATATCACACACTAGAGTAATTTTAAAAAAAATTAGCTTTTGCTTGTTCAAAACAAAGGTTTCATACAGAATAACAGAGATGGAAGGAACCTTAGAGGTCTTCTAGTCCCACCCCCTCCTCAAGCAGGTGACCCGATACCATTTCAGACAAATGGCTGTCCAATCTCTTCTTAAAAAGCTCTAGTGATGGAATATCCACAACTTCTGAAGGCAAGCCATTCCACTGGTTAATTGTTCTGTTAAGAAATTTCTCCTTAGTTCTAGGTTGCTTCTCTCCCTGATTAGTTTCCATGCATTGCTTCTCTTCTTGCTTTCCGGAGCTTTGTATAATAGGTTGACCCTCTCTTCTTTGTGGCAGCCCCTTAGATATTGAAAGACTGCTATCATGCCAACCCAGTTCCTTTTATTATCAGACTAGACATACCCAATAGCCAGTTCTTTGTATATTTTAGCCTCCAGTCCCCTAATCATCTTTGTTGCTCTTCTTTTTAAGGCTGTGCCCCTCCCATTAACCTTCTTGCTATTTTCCTATCAATTTCACAATCTTAACAACACTAATGCAGTCAATTTCCATTATTCCCAATCAATTTCACAATTCTAATAGGAGTTGTATAGGAAGAATCTGAAAGGGAAGGAGGAGGAAAAGGAAGAAAAATTTGAAAGGAAATAACATTAGGAAGAATGTTGGAGCCCGAATGGCTTATTCCTTCAGTATGTTAGTTACCATCCTTAACAGCATAACATGATATAAAATTTCACCTCTTTTTCAGCTCACGGTAGAGTACTTTACACATAAAAGATATTTAGCATACAATACAGAGCCAGTTTGGTGCAGTGGTTAAGGCACCAAACTACCAACCAGAAGATGGTGAGTTTTAGTCCTGCCTTAGGCACAGAGTCAGATGGGTGACTTTGGCCCAGTCACATATTCTTAGCCCCAGGAAAGGGGCAATGGCAAACCACTTCGGAAAAACCTTGCCAAGAAAATGGCAGCGGTTTATCCAGGCAGTTTCCTATTGAACGATGAAAACAAAAGAAGTGGAATTAGAAAAGAGTCCCAATCAAGTTACTGATACTGGTAGTTAGTGCCAATAATATTGAACTAAAGGTTTCCTAACTATGCCAACTTCTAGACATGTAGAATAGAATAGAATAGAATAGAATAGAATAGAATAGAACAGAATATAGAATACAATAGAATATAGAATACAATATAGAAAATTGAATATAGAAAATAGAATAGAATATAGAAAATAGAATAGAATAGAAATAGAATAGAAACTTGTCACTTTAAATGTACACTAATCAGCATACATTAAAATGAAATTTCATTGCATTCAGTTCTCAAAAGATATGCAACCATTATGCATATACCCACCCATCCCACACACACATATGACACAAAGAAACATCATAGTCTAATTCGGATGTATATATATATATATACATGGTGGGAGGAGGGGGGAAGAATCTTGTGAGTTTACCAGATGGATGGCATAGAGAACAAAGATGTTACAGAATCTGGCAGTCCTGCTAGAAATACTTCAAAACATCCTCCCAGAGGGGAGCAACAGAAAGAAATTGTAAAGTAGATGTGTGTGGGTCTCTGACAATGCTTTGAGATCTAAGCACATAGCTCTTATAAGCAGTATCCCAAATTACGGGAGGTGAGTTTCCTATAATTTCTCCATTGTCCTTACCACTCTCTGTATGGACTTTCTACCTGAGGCACTGCTGCCACCAAACCAAACAGCGATGCAGTCTGTTAAAATGCTCTCAATTGTGCCTCTGTAAAAAGTGGCCAGGACAGGAGATGCAAATGCTGGTTTGCATAATTCACTAAAATTAAGTTCGGAGAAAACCAAGATACATAGGTATCAACTCTAGAAATCTCATTAATCTACAAATTTCCAAGCAAGCAGAAGGTGGCTAAAACAGAACAGTCAACAAATCTAGTCGAAAACTTCCTTCCTTCATAAAGACAGAGAGTTACAGAAACTGTGCTTAAGATTCATATACAATTATCTCAAGTTTAATCTCTGTATCTTCAGATGAAACTAGGCAAACTTCCTGTTTCTCCCTTCTCCTCCCCCGCTGCCCATTTAAAGCTACACGTTGTCCTGCATTGGAGCAATTCTTCTATGCGCCCTCCTAGCCTTTCTCATGCTTTCTTCCTTTGGTTGAATGTCATTTCCAGCATAGCTATCTATTGTGAAATCTCCCCAGCGAATTCCACAGATTCCACGAAAGAACAACACAGATACTATGAAGATACATAAATAAGGAGAGTGAGGTGGTAGGAAACCCAATGAATATTCTTAGAATGACCCCTGAAGAACCTACCTCAATTTGGAAATCTCCCTCCTAAACAGGTCGTACCTTTCAGCCCGTTTGTTCCCTTTTAGCAGGAACATCTGAGAACTCCAGAATCCAGCCCTGCCTCCAATCCCAAAGTGTGAGTCACAGGATGACTTCTATAAAAGACAACTGGCTGGTCTCCTCTTCCAACTTTGTTTACTCCTTTCTCCTGTCCTTATTCCTCCCACCCTTCCTGGTCAGCTGCCATTTCTGTCGGTTCACTCAAGTTCAGCTTCTGTACTCTCGTTTTCAGTTAGCCAGCATTAAATCTCAGGCATGGGTAGTTTTTCATCACCTCCTAGAATAGATGCCTTCGCCATCTTCTCTAGTTTTCCTATGAGCCAGTGGTCGTAAGCCAATCACATCTTGCTCAACCATCATTCCCAGCCAGATTTCTTAAAGATGAGAGCTGCTGGGAGGCAAAGTTCAGTGAGGTAGGATCCACCTGGATGCCTCTTTTCCCAAAGAGCATCTAGTTGGGTTCCATCTGTTGATAACTAGATCATTTTAATATATAATAGGTGGAAGAAATATACTGTCCAACAGCTTCCAAGACATGAAACATGATTATTGTTTCCTCTTTCAACACAGTTAATCTGTAAGAATACCTACAGATTATATCCTTACAAATGTTTATATTGTTTTTGTTTCCTAATATGATTTGATAGCTTATTAGTAACCTGGACGATCACTATCTGTATCTTTTTATTCTTGATGAATGTATTTTTATTCTCCTTATGTACACTGAGAGCATATGCACCAAAGACAAATTCCTTGTGTGTCCAATCACACTTGGCCAGTAAAGAATTCTAAAGATTCTGAAACCATGGTTATTTAACTTCCAGTTATTGTTAACTAGAAGTAACAGGAACTCTCTTCTAGTACATCATAACCA